AGGCGCCGAGCCCATTTCATTTCTTTCTTTCTTTTTTTTTTTTTGAGATAGAGTCTCACTTTGTTACCCCTGGTAAAGTGCTGTGGCATCACAGCTCACAGCAACCCCAAACTCTAGGGCTCAATCGATTCTCTTGCCTCAGCCTCCCAAGTAGCTGAGACTATAGGCATTGGCTATTTTTAGAGACGAGGTCTTGCTCTGGCTTAGGATGGTCTTGAACCTGTGAGCTCAGGTAATCCACCTGCCTCGGCCTCCCAGAGTGCTAGAATTACAGGTGTGAAGCAGTGTAACACAGGGCATGTTTCTATCATTTCTTTTCACTCACTTTGTATCTCGCCCTGAGCTATCATTTCTTTTCACTCCACATTTCTCCCTAGCTTATTTTCTTCTCCCTGATGCCACTTTCTTGATTTACTAGCAGCTGAGACTATTTCAGAACACACAGCATTGAATATCCCTGTGTGTGGGGCTGCATGTGGCACATCCCCTCGTGCATTGCCCTCTACACCTCTGTGTTTGGGAAAGCTGCTTTGGTGGTGCAACCCTTCTAGTGGGATGAGAATGAGTAAGCTCCTGTTTCCCTGTGGGGTTTGCCTGCTCTTCTGGTAACAAGTCTCAGGCCAGGACCAGAGCACCTGCACTCAAACAGCCTGCTTGTCCTGGTTAGCAAAGATGGAGAGTAGGGCCTCCAGGGAACTGCTAAGGGTCTCTGGGCTTAGGCAATAGTCCTGGGTGTCACTCTGGAGCTTTATTAGACCTCAGAATGTCAGTACCAGGGAATTTCCCAGATACAACCCCCAGACAACTAAAGTGTGTTCTGAACACCCTTCCCCTTCCCCCACTGTCCCTCCCTAAGGGGAATGTTCACACCATAAGTTGCTTTGTTCTCTCCTCTCCCTGGTCCACTCCAGGACCTTTTCTTTTCTATTTTTTTCCTTTCTTTTTTGAGATGGAGTCTCACTATTTTGCCCTTGGTAGAGTACTGTGATGTGATAGCACACAGCAACCTCAAACTTTTGGGCTAAGTGATTCTCTTGCCTCAGCCCCCCAAGTAGCTGGGACTACAGTGCCCATCACATGGCCTGGCTGTTTTTTTCTTGCAGTTTCATAGTTGTTTAGCAGGCCCTGACCGGGTTAGAACCCACTGTCTGCTGTCTGTGGGCAGAGCAACTCCGAAGGCATTGCAGGCTGATGCTGGGAAAAGAAGGTCTCCAAGGCATAGGAAGTGGCAGCTCTAGGGACAAGCAGCTTGCTTTGCCTGCAGAAGGGAACTGAGAGATGCCGCTGCAGCACTGAGACCTTCATCCCACGGTGGGCGTGGCCTGCTGCACTCAGCCAGACTATCTTCCAGAACTGAGTCCTCTGCACAGGCTCTCTGTGGCCAGCACCAGACTGCAGGAGCCTGGGTCTGCTCTTTTGGATCCAGGAACCTCCCACCAAGGACAAGAAGTCTGAGTCTCTGGCCATGGCCACCATGCATTCTCCTTCTTAGCTGTTGTCCCTGTGAGTGCCAAAAGCAAGGCCAGGCCAGGACTGGGCTGAGAGTCAAGCTACAAGACAATGATGATGGCTGAACAAAGAGACTGTCAACAGTACTGCCATCACCTCTGCTTTCTCCTCTGATGCCTGACTAGCCTAGGGCTGAGGGGATAACTGGCTCCTTATTTCTCAGGCTGCCCAGTGTGCATTGCTTAATGTGCAACATGCTCTTCTGTATATTCTCCATGGGCCAGAAACTGTTACCACTCACACAGAAAGCCAGAACATCAAATCAAGTCACACACAAAAGCTTGTCTTTTAACTCCCTCCTTGTGGCATTCCCTCCTCCCGGCATACCCCTCCATCAAAGCACAGAGTCGGCTTTGCCCACCCTTCTTACCTGGTTGTCGATCTTGATCTCTGTCAAGGTGTCATTTTCTTTCAGTGCATCTACCAGGGCCAGGATCCCAGTTCCAGTGATAAAATTGGATTCTATGTTTAGACTTTTTAAGGTCTTGTTTACTTTCAGCATATCTGCAAAAGCCTTATTGTGCAAAAAGAAATTAATGTTATTAGGGTCTCTAAAGATTGATTTTATAAAGTCCTCATCTCTAAATCAATTTTTTATAGCACTTCAAGAAAATCTTGGTCAAATCATATTTTTACCTCTAAGTAACAAAGATAATAATTTAAAACTGTAATAAAAATCCAGTAGTACATATTTACAAACTTCACATACTCGCAAAAAAATTTTTAAAAAAAGATACTGACATATTATCAACTTCTTTTATTAAGTAAGAACATTAAAAAAAAAAATCCCACTATTGACATGTTATTGTCAATTTTTTTGAGAAAGGACAAATGACCTTACCATATGTCCTTACCATTCCCCTTTACCATATGTGAATGAATTTAAAAACACACTACCATTGACTGGCACTTCTGGTTTAGTTATATTATTTCAGATCATCTATACATCAGAATTCCTTAAAGATAACTTTTGGAACAAAATCACCACTTAGAGTGGCAAACCCACTGCAGACTCCAGTTTGAGACATTAGACTGCACACTTTACACTTGCCTGCTCCCCTTTTCTCCCAGGGTTTCCCACCACGATGAAGAAAAGATATGCTTTTTAAGAAACTGTAATTCAGGGTGGCGCCTATGGCTCAGCAGGTAGGGCGCGGGCCCCATATATTGAGGGTGGCAGGTTTGAACCCAGCCCTGGCCAAACTGCCACAAAAAAATAGCGGGGCGTTCTGGTGGGCACCTGTAGTCCCAGCTACTCGGGAGGCTGAGGCAAGAGAATGGCCTAAGCCCAGGAACTGGAGGTTCCTATGAACTGTGACGCCACGGTACTCTACTGAGGGCAATAAAGTGAGACTCTGTCTCTAAAAAAAAAAAAGAAAAAGAAAAAGAAAGAAAGAAACTATAACTCTCCTGGTGCAAGAAAATAAAACAAAATGTCATTATCTTGAGGAACTGCTCAAATACAGAAACTAGAAAGATTGGTGGAGAAATCTGCACAAAGTAAGCCATTGCCTGAAATGCCAGAGGTGGGTCCTGTTTGGAACATTTCATAGAGGAACTGCCTTAGGAACTGATGAAACAGGTAGATGTAGCGCACATCACCCCTCCCAGTGCCTTCCCAGAAAAAGAGAAGCTCAGGCATGACTATCAGTGAAGAATCTCCTTGGAGGAACGATAGTGAGGGTGCTGTGGCCTGGGAGAGAAGCAGCACAGAAACCAGCACCTCTAGACCTCGTACCAGGTACGGTGTGGGAGAAAGGAGGAGAAGGCAGTCCTGCCAGGAATGAAGTACGGTAGCCCCCCAATTCAAAGTTTCAGTTACCTGCAGTCAACTGCGGTTGGAAAACAGTAAATGGAAAATTCCAGAAATAAGCATTCATTAAGTTTTAAATTGCACTCCATTCTGAGTAGTGTGATGGAATCCTATCCCCTCCTGCTCCCTCCACCTAGGATGTGAATCATCCCTTTGTACAGTATAGCCACGCTGTGTACAATCCTTGCCTGTTAGTCATCAGCATGGCCTGCTCCTAATATCCAACCATCAATGTCGTCATGACTCAATGATCCAGAATCACCTGAAGCAGATGATCCTCCTTCCGCCATAAGGTCAGAAGGTCAAAATTAGGCCATCACAGTGTCCACGTCATTCCCCTCACTCCATCTCATCATGCAGGCATCTTATCACCTCACATCTCACATCATTACAAGAAGGGGACAATAAGGTATTTCAAGAGAAAGAAAGACCATATTCACGTAACTTTTATTATAGCATATTATTATAATTGTTCCATTTCCTTATCAGTTATTGTTGTTAATTTTTTACTGTGCCTAATTTATAAATTAAACTTTACCATAGGTAAGCTTCTATATAAAAAACATAGTACAACTGGGGTTTGGAACTATCCCTAGTTTCAGACATCCTCTGGGGGTCTCAGAATATCCCCCACGGATAAGCGAGGACCCTGCTTCCCTGAGTGAAGGCTTCCTAAGGGCAGCAATTTCAGGGCCTCTAGGCTGTCTGTCAGCTCCTTACATACACATGACAGAGAAGGTTATGGATCAATTCACCTGTGCTAGAAAAAAGCACCCACTTATTCATTCAAAAAAGACTATTTGTCAGGCTTCTACTGGGTTCCAGCAGTGGAAAAAACAAGAGTCAATAAATTAATAAATAAAATATAAAGCTTATCAGATGATGAAAAGTGGAGAAAAATAACGGGTCTCCTTTTTCAGGGGGAGCCATTGGTGTCACAGATGTATAACAACTGCAGAAGAACCTATTCTAGTTTATACAAAGCAATCTCATTCTCCATTCAAAAACAGGAAGGGTCAGGGCGGCGTCTGTGGCTCAAAGGAGTAGGGCGCCAGCCCTATATGTCAGAGGTGGCGGGTTCAAACCCAGCCCCAGCCAAAAACTGCAAAAAAAAAAAATGAAGGGTCTACCAATAGCTACCAGATATATTAGGAAAAGCAATATCATGAAAGAGAAACGTTGAGTTGACCATACAAGATAATATCATAGAAGGAACAGAAATAAATGTAAAAATTATAATTATGTATTACTCTCTATACCTTCCTTAAGAAAAAGAACATGGGGAGCATAGATTACATCCATAAAATAAATATTGGCTATTATTCTTTTAAAAAAAAAGAGGCATAATAAAGCATTTTGAACATTTTAAAAACTAAAGTGAAATAAAAGAAAGTAACAGGGCAAGTTACAGTGGTTCACACTTGTAATCCTAGCACTCCAGGAGGCTGAGGCAGGAGGATCACTTGAGGCTACAAGTTAGAGAATAGCTTGAGTGAGAGGAAGACTTCATTTCTACAAAAAATACAAAAATTAGCCAGGCATGGTGGTGTGTACCTATAGCCCCAGCTACTTGGAAGGCTGATGCAAGAGGATTGCTTGAGCCCAGAAATTTCAGGTTGCAGTGAGTTATGATGACATTACTACATCCCAGCCTGGGTAACAGAGTAAGACCCTGTCTCAAAAACAAAAACAAAACCAAAACGTAATCCATGCCCAAAATGAGCATGGCTGAAGACCATGGTTGGTGACCTAGATGATAACACTGAGGCTATCTTTCTTTGTAAGAAGAAAAGGAGATATATTACAAAATACAAGAAAAACATTGAAGACATGGGGAGGAAAGATGCAGAGGTTCAACATTCCTCTAATAGGAGTTCCAGAAGGAGAAACAACAACAAATAGAAAGGAAGATATTATCAAATAATTAAGAGTGAATAACTTCCTAGAGCGGAAGAAAATTAGAAGTCTTATCTGAAAGAAACCAACAGGTGCTTTGAATGAATAAAAAAGACTCATAAGTGAACACCCAAGCGAAATTTCAAGATTCCAAGAGAAAAGAGAACAAGTAAGAAAAAGTAAGCTACCTACAAAGTAACAAGAATCAGACCAGCATGAGTCACTAAACTGTAAGGCCCATGAGAACAGAGATTTACGTTTCTAAAGTCATACAACTGTAAATGCCGCTAGTAGATTTTTAGTTTTTTGAAACAATCTAAATACAAAACAGCATATAATTATATAAAATGTATAAAGGTCAATTGTGTGAAAAAAGTGGAATAGCTACAATTTAGAGGAGAAGTGAAAGGAGGGACGGAAAACAGTGAGTACAGAATTGCCCTCATCTTTTACAACAGAGAATCAAAAATTAAGATGATAAACCAAAAATGTAAATTTCTGTATATTGTGGTTTTCAATTTTGGCTACACATGATCTGGAAGATTAAAGAAATACCAATGCTTGGGCCCCACCCCAGCTATATTAAATCAGATGGCTACGGCAAGACCATCTGCATTTTTGAAAAGTTCTCTAGGTGAGTAATGCGCAGTCAGAATTGACAGCCCTTTAATTAAAGTCATCAAGACAGGGTGGCACCTGTGGCTCAGTGGGTAGGGCACCGACCCCATATACTGAGGGTAGTGGGTTTGAGCCTGGCCCCGGCCACACTGCAAAAAATAGCCAGGTGTTGTGGTGGGCACCTGTAGTCCCATCTATTCTGGAGACTGAGGCAAAAGAATCGCCTAAGCTCGGGAGTTGAAGGTTGCTGTGAGCTGTGACACCATAGCACTCTACCAAGGGTGATAAAGTGAGACTCTGTCTCTACCAAAAAAAAAAAAAAAATTAAAGTTATAAAGATAACAACGAGATGAATGAAAACAAACTGTTCACAATGATTGCTTCTGGGGAGTAGAAGAAAGAAATTATCAGCTATTTTAATTGATTTTATAGTAGAAAAGATAGGAAGAATGAAGAAGGAATCCAACATGGACTGGAACCTCTGCATGGCTGACATTTGGAACTTGAGGATAATTTGTTGTGGGAAGTTATCCTGTGTATTATACGATATTTAGCAGTATCTCTGGCCTCTGAGACCCACTAGCTGCCTACAGCACTTTTCCCAGTTATGACAAGCAAAAATATTTCCAAACACTGTCAAATGTCCCCAGGAGGGCAAAATGTCCCTGGTTTGAGAACCACTGGACTAGAAAGAATAATCTTGTGTATTAGGCAGACAGTTGCCTGAACTGCAAAGAAAGCTCAAGGACTGGGACTGACATTGTGACACTCCATGTAAATCACAATACATTTATCTGGTGCTAGGTCTTTAATTAAAATTAAGTGTACACATTTTAATCAGAGCACCAGAGGGCTATCCGTCAGGCCTTTCCTTATGGATGCTGGAAGCTTTGGGATTTACTTTCATTATTAGACTAACAGATGTCAGAGCAATTAGGCCTTTACAAAAAGTTGTAGGACCTCCTGGCAAGAAGCCAGAGTCTTGTCAATTTCTTTTAAACCCAAGAAAACACTTTTCTCATACTGAACAAAACAGGGGCGATCCAGCCAAACATAACCCTGGGCTGGTGGCCCAAGTTCACTTCAGCAAATATTTGAGCATCTACTACGTGTGCTAGGGACAATAACATTCATAAAACAAGGACTAGATTTCTTGAATGTTATATAAATAGAGCAGAAACACATTT